GCTGCAGGTCAGTTTACGAGATGTCGATTATTAATGTTTTTGTGATATGAACATTTCTTATACAATATTTTAAAAGTTAATATATATAAAATCGTGTATTAAGACCCTACTCATATTCTTTCAAGTTATATTGAGAGTACGTGCTATAAAAAAAATGCCCAATGAGGGCGCATACCCCCCATGTTTTAATGCAGGTAAAACGGTGAATAAGTTTCAATCGTTATAATAGTCCAGGGTCACTTTATCTAATTTTAAAAAGAACTTCTAAATTTTAGGGCAATCCAGACAGTTTCATCAAAGTTCTTGGAAATCTCTGATACTTTATTATATAGCCAATTGCTTTAGAATGTCGTATAAAAGTTGGGGTCTCGGATTCATTTTTTGTAAAAAAAAACGTGATATCACTTTAACCCGATAGTTGACTCTGAGTTAGTATAGGATAAGAGTTCCTCAGGACCTCCCCCCTTACCCGTCACTCTAATCCTAACCCAGCCTCTCAAGTACCCCTCTTTTCTTTCAATTGTATAGATCCATTTTTGGGTCACTTATTTATTATTTGACGGGGCATATTGAATTACATTGGGGGACTGGAGTGTTAGGGGTGAGGGGGCATTGAGGAACTTTTTCCGTAAATATAACTCTGAGTGGAAACATTGAACACGTTTAATTGTGAAACAATTCAAACGATTTTGAACTAGACATGATAAAACAGTGTTCCGAGGAAACTTACTAAGTGAAAAGAGCGATCCAACTATCGGCCACCCCCGTGGTCCGGGCATGCCTGGCAATGGCCCCCCTCTTTCTGCTGTACACAATGTGAGCATATACGCAAGTAATGTGGCAATTCCTCACATTAGAACCCCGGTTACTAAAAACCATGGTAGAGCAGAAGTAACTCGGTTGTCTGTGATGTCCATGTTTACAAAGCTGGAATTTGGCGAGCTAAACTGATGGTAGAATCATATGGAAAAACCAAGTTGAATTTCCAATCATATGTTTTTCATGTCATAAAAGATTGGCAGCTGCAAAACGTAGGTTAATACATCGTGCCTGTGATTACCCACAATCCTATCTGATGTATACGAGCATGCATTTGATGGTAAAAGTTTGGTAAATGTCATCAGTACTCAGCCATCTACGGATATGATTCATACATTCTGAAAATGTACATTTTATTTCAATTTTTCTTCTTTTTTCTGCATATCCCTGAATATCAGTAGTAGTGTTTTTTGTCAGCAGTAAACCAAACTTAGTTTATAATATCTGTGCTACATAATTCGTGTGTAACTAAGAAAGTTCCCGGACACCTGGCTGTGGATGAAACAAAGAAATCTACATATTAGATGTCAGGTGATGAGGACGAGTACTCGTTATGTTGGTGATTATATTTCTCAAAGCTCGACTGCATATTATATTCAATTGGGTCACGTCCGTGCTGTTGAAACTAGGTCATAGACTTAATTTGAATACAAAATGTACATGTATAATATATATAACCTTTTGCCACAAATACTAGTAGGTCTTTCTATTGTGATTGAGGTCCTCTATAGTTGAGATTAGTTACCTGAAAGCACTTCAGCATCTTAAAAAAAATATACAAAAAATAAATTGCACACTCTCCCCAATTATCGAGTACTCTTAACCACATATTTCCCATACATTTTCTTGCCGCCGTCCAGACTAATTTTGATGAAAATAATAAACCCAGATAGTTGTATTGCTTTACTAGGCTCAACTGGGGTGCATTTGAATAACAAATTTTCATAACCCTCGAAACTCACCCATTACGGAAAACTACGATTTTTAAATTTTATCTAAATTTACCACCATGCCTCAATGATCACAAAATCGCCGTAGCTACTTTAACTTTCTCTGTAGAATAGAATAGGCGTGTCGGACACATCGGCAATATCATTAGCTTACATTATATTTGTGAAATCATGTGTGACGCATATACCCCTATTGTTACAGTAATGCTTATCCATATAGAAAGTAAGTCCATTAACAAATAAACTAAATAATAAAAAGCTTAGCATACAACCTTGTCGTGTAGTGCAGTCAAATATTCTGTAAGTCACCCAATACACAGTACACAAGGTTTTATTTCGTTGTACATTGTCCACAGGGTTGTCAAAACTCATGCAAGTAACGAGAGATTCCATTCACAATTCCATCCGGATCGGTTTCCTTTCCCGTTCCTTGTGTTTTCGATACAAGTTGTGACTTCTTTCAACGTAATGTCACTGTTAAACGCTAAAGGCACATTAGATTCACATAACAATGAGAGTCGTCTTATTATTTGTCAATAATGTTTCTTTTAAAAGTTACATCATCATTTTCTGGTTATACATTAAGCATTTTATTTCCATTCTTTCAATTCAACTAAATATTGCCCTCTTGTAAAACAGTCCATTTTCCATCCTTCAAAAATGATTCTGTGTGTAATGTTACAACATACTAGTATTACGTTGTCTAAACTTATACTCTCTCGCTTTACATATACCGGTTTCTAAGTTCAATATAATTCATAAGTTCATCCCCATTGTTTGATTTACGGTGTGAATTTAAAAGCTCAAATTTACTCCGCGTATTAATGAGGGCAACAGCATGGTGACCACCAGACGGCTATATAAATAATCCATTTCATTTGAGCATTTGCATAAATTGGTTCTAGTGACGAAACTTCTTTCTTGTAGTTATATTTAATCGGCTGTTGGCATGGGTTCAGTATATCTATCTGGTCCATAGAAGGTATTATACATGTTACCACACTGGAAATACTGACTTAATAATAACTATAAGTCGGGTCAGGTAAAAGTCGCAACTTTTATCCACTGGTATTAATTAGAGCTAATCTATTCAGCAAAATAAAAAGGGATGTGATTTATGGCAATTTATCTAATCTAATGAGGTTGATTGGGAAATGTTGTTGAAGTTCATGATAAATAAATTAACAACAGTTTTGACTTTGGATTCATGGCTAAATTGTATGTATTTCCCATCTTTTGATGTGATCTGACACAATTTGTAAAAATATTCTCACCCTATGCTATGATCTGATATAATATAATGACATCACACAATCATATAACGATGTTGGCATATAATATAATGACATCACACAATCATATAACGATGTTGGCATACAATATAATGACATCACACAATCATATAACGATGTTGGCATATAATATAATGACATCGCACAATCATATAACGATGTTGGCATATAAGATAATGACATCACACAATCATATAACGATGTTGGCATATAATATAATGACATCACACAATCATATAACGATGTTGGCATATAATATAATGACATCACACAATCATATAACGATGTTGGCATATAATATAATGACATCACACAATCATATAACGATGTTGGCATATAATATAATGACATCGCACAATCATATAACGATGTTGGCATATAATATAATGACATCGCACAATCATATAACGATGTTGGCATTTAATATAATGACATCGCACAATCATATAACGATGTTGGCATATAATATAATGACATCGCACAATCATATAACAATGTTGGCATATAATATAATGACATCACACAATCATATAACGATGTTGGCATATAATATAATGACATCGCACAATCATATAACGATGTTGGCATATAATATGACATCGCACAATCATATAACGATGTTGGCATATAATATAATGACATCGCACAATCATATAACGATGTTGGCATATAATATAATGACATCGCACAATCATATAACGATGTTGGCATATAATATAATGACATCGCACAATCATATAACGATGTTGGCATATAATATAATGACATCACACAATCATATAACGATGTTGGCCCTCAAATCAAATTTGGGTGGTGAAACGTGAAAGTAATGGTACAGCATTTTAAACAGTAAATAAGTACTGAGAAATATTCGTAAACTCATATTAAATGCTGACATACAAAGTAAAGCAAGTAAACAACCGTATTTACGGTATGGTAAATACTACTCGTATGTCAAAAGAAATATGTATTTTACTCACAAATATGCAAGTATCCGTCAGTTACGGACGTCGCTCTCAAGGAAACCGTTGAGAACGTGCATACGCAGACAACTTTCAAAGATGTCAATTATAGTATCACCCTTTTAACCAGTCCCAACTGTTTGAATTTGGACAAACTACAGTGATTGTATTAGTGAATCTTCAAGTTGCACTCACGGAACATGTATTGCTTCTTCAGTGTAAGACTATTATTTTAATTTGAAATATATTTAATTTTTGAAGGCCAATTTATCTGTCTTTGAAAATCTGATGTGTTCACTTCAAATTATCAGATGACGTAATTACCTGCGTTTCCTGAAGGTATTCTCACAAATTCGCATTTGTATGTATTCACAACACGGGGACAGAGCACCTACAGTTGATGACGCAATCAAACACAATATTACTGTAAAATACTTTATTTTACCTTAGAATTCATTTTCGCTATTTTCGCTGAAGCGATGATTTAGTGAAAATGAAATTCTGTGAATATTTTCCATATTTTACATTCAACTCATCAAAAATATGACGTGAATAAATTCCATACAAAACACCAAAAAAGCAATTTCAGTGAATATTAATTCCAACTAATATAAAGTATTTTACAGTATATGCCCCAGAAACCTGCAATATTGTTATTAAATTAATTGAAATTTTACAAGGTGTTACAATATTTGTATAATTTACGGAGGAACCATGGCAGCACATCAGCGTACTAGTTAGTTCAATAAAACAAGGTTACTTACGGGGTTATATTAAAGCGCGTCATAAACATACCGGTATAGATATTTCATATTTTTATCCATGAGATTAGAAACCTAGAAATCACGTGATTGTCACAACGACTGCAGCCATTGGTCAATAACGTCTGTACTCTTCCTCGCTTTAGATTTGAACAACATTGCAAGACTTTGATTACAGTGGTGGCGACACGGGGGAGGGGCATCGGACCCCCTGGTAAGATCGCGTCTTCGGCACAAGGTTGGTGAGCAGACCCCCACACCCATTCAAAATTTTGTGCCGCCACCTCTGGTTGATGATAGCATGGAACTATAAACCCCATGATGATAGTTAGCAAACCACACCATTGCTGTAAATTGGTTTAGGAATAAACCTGAACTCGCACAGTGAAATGCGGGTGTTTTTGGTTGAGTGGATTACCACAACAATGTCAAGTTCCAACATATACAGCTCCCATTCTAAGCATAAGCCTCTCTCTCACAACAAGTGATTGGTCAGAATTTACATTCTCCAATTCGAGCAAAATCTATCAGTACAAGTCTGTTCAATGTTTACGCGACTGAATGGATGCAAGCAGCTCACCAATACATGTACATACAGCAAGCATTATTGACACCATTGTCTATGTACACTTCTTGGTATACAAGTACTACGTTTGGACAGTCCCTCCACTGTGGTTTGGACAATCTGCATTTGAGATACATGCACAAATCAAATTTAATCTTATGTGACTTGCATTTCTGTAAAACTGATAAATGCATCGAGCAGCCTTTTCAGGGCATGTCTTGGATTTCAGTATAGCAAAAGTAAATACTAGTACAAACAATTGCACAAACATCACCAACTCTAATTTTTTAATAAACACCATTCACTCAATCTAATTTTATTTTTGCATCATTGTAACTTGAGATGATCTTTTATTGAAATATAGAAACCAAGTGAAGATCCATGGAAATAATTTAGAAAAAAAAAGTTTATTTGCACAATATAAAAAAAAAAAGAATATACATGTAATATAAATAAAATACAAACTGTATATAAATAAATGTACATAGAAACTACATGATTATTTACAAACGTTAAAGATGGATTAATTGTATCCCTCGTCTTCAAGACAATCAAATTATTTAATGAGTCATGGTATCTTATGAATGGTTGTCATAGAGACTGTGTGCGTCAGTTAACTCAGCTGATTTAATTTACTCTCAATACATACACCAATTATCAATGTGTGGCGTTACACACTATATACTGAACCAATGTCTTCTGCAGATACTTCTGGTGTGAGACTGGTGCTAGAGTATAGATTAAAGAGGATAGACCTTAGAGGCAACTGGATGCCAAGATCTGATTGAGAGCAAGATATCCATGACACTTGTTTTCCCTCTCAAACAATGTTCTATCTCTCTGGTTGATCACGTCTGCTGTTACAGATAAATTAGTGACATAGATATTAAAATAGTATAGTGGATATGATCAATGGGAAACTATTTAAGTGCGGTTTTGTTAAGATCAGATAAACTTTGAGCGAATGTACTGTTTTAAATTTGCCATCATCAGTGCTATTACCGGCAGTAGAATTGGAAAAGGACACCAGTCAGCATCTTAAAACTTCTAAAGATACAAAACTGAATGTTACATGGTAATTTGAATCTCATTCCAACTGTACCAACAAATTACGGCAATACAATTATAAGACCTAACACATTGGTTAGCTTGTCACTGCAGCATCAGGGAGGATGCGAGTTCAATCCCCACGGTCAGCTGCCAACTTGGCAGAGCAAAGTACTTTGCACCCACCCCACTCACAAGGCTCATGGCTTTATATAGTATGAAGAACGGTGTTCAGTAGAGTGGTCGTAAAAACTGTTCCAGTCCTCAGTACACATACAAATTTCACATTATCCTTGTTACAGTCGAGGATTATCATGGGACGACACTCCCCCTTCAGCAGGAAACTAACTATAAGTTACACCTGGCTGGGTTTACCTAGCAATGTACATGAAGTACAATGAACAAGATCCATATCATGTGGTACCCCTTGTATATTACAGTTTCATATTCCACACTGGGCAGTAGAAGACCATTACAGATATATTCACTACTGTGTCACATTTATAGCACCAGCTGCTAGCAATAGATTACAAGACACAAACTCTAAATAATGTACTGAAGAAGTCCTCATTGGGAAAGATCCTAATATTTCTAGTGACACGCCAGTATCAGAGCTACAAAGAAATAGATAATAACGTGAAAATGTATTCAGTGTCAACATTTTTAGTGGATTTGTATTCAGGACCAACATTTGCCCAAATGTGATGCTGATATATATAAAACCTTGTATTTCATAAAGTACTGCATAAGAATGTGCGTGTTTGTGTGTTGTTCGCAGTATGTTTTTTTAGTGGAAACAGCCAGTTCATGATAAAAACAACAAAATGTGTACTAAAATCATCTTTCATTCTGCCACAGTACAGCACAGAGCCTTATATGATAAGGGGTATCCCATGAACAATTCAGAATATCAAAATGATTTTGAGTGCTTTGGCATGTTATCTTGTCACTTCATGACTTGCCAATAGATACAAAGAGCACATTTTACTTCTAGAATGAATCTAGATAATTTATAAATAGTGAACTTACTGTGAACTTGGACTGAATGACTGCCTGACATCCCACACACGGATAGTGTTATCCAATCCACCCGATGCTAACATAGTACTGTCGTTACTAAAGTTCAATGAATATACATTATCTTGATGTCCGGAAAGTTCTTTTACCATATTTCCAGATCCTAAATCCCAGAGTTTGACTTTCCGGTCTTCCCCCGAGGATGCAAGGAACTTTCCATTTGGTGAAAACGCCAAGCTGAACACTGTCCCCTGTGAAACAAATTAAATATTTAATATATGAACTCCCATTTTGCAAATCTGAAATATATATATACATGGTTTGTATATATATAGATGTTTTCATCATCTAATGTTTAAATTGTGAATGAATAATGGAAAGATTGACGGGATTTCAGCGAGCCCCATTAACGCTAAATCGTCTCACAGCACGAATTTTATATAAAGCCACGTGTTGCATAATCTGTTATGAATCTTATATATCGAAAATAACGACTGTAGCACTTTTAACAATAGACACACACTTAGGTAATGGGAGTCTTTGGTTGTTTATGAAGGCAAGTTACATTGTAGATGTTTTTGTTTAAGGGATAAGACCCTCCAGCACCCTCAAAATGAAATAAGTGAGAAAATGAGGACAGAATAGGTAGCATGGGTACATGAAAAACAAAATGGCCATATTTTTTCAAATCACGGAAAAAGTATGACGTGCACCTATAACCAAATATGTATGATCATCATCATACCAACTTTGATCCAAATCGGCCCAGTCATCTCCAAGAAACTGCTGCAGGCACATTTATGTATCAGTCGGCCATTTTTGCTCCGATCATAAAGTAACTTGACGTGCATATGCAAGACATTATGTATTGTCTTCATGTAAAGTTTGAATGAAATCTGTCAATGGGTGTCCGAGATATAGTTCCGGACGAACGGACAGACGGAACGAAACCAAATTAATAGTCCCTGTTTTCGGACTTCGTCCGAACGCGGACTTAAATAGCATTATTGAACACAATGTATATTTTTGGCTTGTCTTGGGGGTGATGTTTCACTTATTTGCAAATGAGAATGCAACATTTATAAGCAGTATTGTAAATGCATTAATTTTTACTAGTATTTAAGTTAACTAATTTTGATATATTCACATATAGTTTTAAGTTTTAAATTCACATATTTTCCAGTAAAACAATGATTTTACGTTTTTTAGAGTTTGGACACACCAAAGTCCTCTAACTGTAAAATATGAATATGTCAACTCCAACTCAGCTATAAATGACACCAAATCAGAAAAATATCCAATGAATGTACCCTAATTTTGAGAATTTTGTCATGACATAAAAGCCCTGAATAACTTACGGTTGTTCCCATGCATTTGATCTATTACTTAGTGAGGATGAAGAAATATTGGATTGTATGTTAAATATATTTTAAACGTTGATTTTTCTACTTAATAGTACAAAATATGTTTTATATGAAAAATAGGAAGCTATGAGTCTTTATAAAGTTTTTCGTTGGAATCTAAAGCATAATTTTATGAAGAATAAATAATATATTTTAGAATTTCTAAATAATTTGTGACAACACATCTCCTAACTGCATATGCTTTTTTCATCTTAAATGTATGTACGCAAATGGAAACCAAAAATAAATGACCCAAGAAACACTATTTTCATTAATCCATTTTTTGTGTGCTAAAAGTAGGTTGGTGACCATATTTTGATATATCTTAATTTGGTGAGAAACAGAATAAATCCATATTGTAATTCAAGAAAATTGTAGCCAGGCTTTTCATTAGAGGCCCGTAGCCAACCAAATTTTCCTGCTACTTCAATGATTTTCCACCTACTTTGAAAATATGAAATTGATAATTCAAACTACCTTTATCAATTGCGCCATTCCCTACCACAGATTTCAATAAAAAACATCTGATAACCCTAATCCTGAGTGATTAATACAATGTGTGTTTGTTTACACAAAATTTTGTTGTGTGCTGCTTGATACGAATGTGCAATAAAATCTTTGTTGGCCTTAATCAGGTGGAAGCCATTGGATAGCATTCACCTTGGTCAGCCTTAAAATATCAACTTAATGTACAGGCTTTAGTATATTGATCCACACCCCCACGATTAACCTGGCCATTGCTCTCATGGCCAGAAAGTTGTGGCATGTCTTCTTCCAAGCAACACAATATAACAAAACTTGGCCAACAGACTAAACAATGTAACCTTCTTTACAATAAATAGTAGGACCTGTGTATTACAATGCAATACTGTTTCAGCTTGTTTGCACCTTTATATTATACTACTAAATTGTTTAATCATTATAAAACTGGCATTATGGCATTAATTCCACTTGAACTTGTCTGATCTTATATTACAATGTGGATACCACATATTAAATAATTTCCCAGAGTGCTGCGTTATTTGACTAAAATATAATATATGAAAAGCGCCCTCACCTTATGTCCGGTAAACAACCTAACACATTTCCCATCTTGTACACTCCACAGTCGGACAGTTCTATCAGAGGAGCCTGTTGCTATATAGTTACAGTTTGGGTGAAACCTCACACACTGAAAAACAAATAATGTGCTCATTTCACCAGTGTTCCATCTTAATGCCTTAGTTGCTCATTCAGTAAAATTTCTCCATAAATTATCATGATCTGTGCAAATTCTCTCAAATTCTTTCATTTATTTTGTAGTAACAGTTGCTTAGTGCTGAAATAGCTAAACAGTGCATAATGTGACATTGTAATGAGATGCATCAACGCATTATGGGAATTATTTGTTTAAAGACTGTTCAAACATGGGTCCATGCAATAAGTGCCAACATGTAGAAATTCAGATTGGATCTAGTATTTATCATCAGATTTCACATCAAATAATCAGTTATGGAGGTGTCAAAAAAATGAGTCAAAATATGCAAAATTCCTAAGAAAAGCAAAAGAAATCGTTGCCATATACTTTAAAATACGTCTTTTTTGCTAGCATGTTATTTTAGCCAATATAGCTAATCTGTAATTTCGCTAATTCAAGAGGTCACTAATTTAAAATAAAGTCAATTCACACAATAAGATTGGTACTTTCGTTAAATTAAGATTCTTTTAATTCTTATATCAAGAAAAATATGCTAAAATAGCATGTAGCTATTTTAATGTGTTTTACAGTAATTAACACAATGTGTTATTTAGTTGCAAAGGGATGTGGGGAGGAGGTCATTAAAAGCAATCTTTGAATCTTTACTTTTGATGACAATACCATAATTTTTTATTAAAATATTATCCTTTTGTGTAAAGCACAAAATACTGTCATAGAAAACACATACTCACATCTACATCCATTAAGTGACCGGCAAATATCCTCAATGGATAGTTTCTATCCAATGTCCATAGTCTTGCAGTGTGGTCTTGGGAAGCAGTGGCAAAATATGGCCCCACACTACCAGTATCCATGTCCCATATAGGGTAGTTGTGACCTTGGTACACTACTTTATTAGTATATGTGTCTAGATCCCACAAACGTACTACAAAGACAGGGATATGGTAGATCAAACAAAAGTGATATAAGTGTGACTTGTAGTATTTATATATTACTAGTAGATGCTTCCATTTAAGATACTTTATCCAAGCAATAAACCACCATGTCTTAAAACGACATATTGTACAAAAGCATGACTGCATTTTGTTAAATGATTGTGTACAAAATCAAGGGGTATAAAAACTGTGATGTTTATTGCTATTAGGATATACAGGATATTACACAATGCATACCATAATAGCAATAAATAACTCCACAGTAGTAAGATTGGTGTACTTTTTTGGCACCAAAAAACACAAATAAATTGTTCAACTTAAAACACAAACAAATCAATGAAGTGTTCAGGATGCACCCACAGTAAAAGTAAGAATGGACTCTGGAAACAACACTACCCCATTTTAGATACACCAAACACAGTTGGGACTCTGTTTATGTTTGAAATTATGAATATTTTCTCAAATATACATGTATACAGTAACGCCATAAGTTACAGTGTGCTATAATTTTGCGGTATTTTACAGGGTATTTTCACCATATTAGGAAATGCGAATTCCGAATATGGAATGATTACGCGCATAAGCGTCCTCTAACAATAAAAACAATCATGGCTGCCACGAGGGTTTGACCGGATTCCACACAAAGTTCGCTGATTCTGTTCTAAACATTTTGAATTTCGGCATTCCCATAATGCATCCTTGGAAGGAAAAGATGTATAATAATAAGGTTATTACATGGATACTTCAAGTATGCACTCAGACAGTACACCGTCACATCAACCTCCTGCTGTACTGTCTTCGTGCATACTTTAAGATATCCTCGTAAAAACCACATAATATATGTGAATATATATTTATGAGTGTGTTATAAAACACTACTTACCTGTAGTATCTTCTGAACTGGATAATAAATGAGATGAATCTACTGTAAAACAAGCTGCATAGACTGGACCGCTGTGACCTCGGAGTGCTTTACTTTCAATTCCCACCCTGCATTATAACACAGATCAATCAATTGAAACCGTCACAAATTTACAGTTCACAGAATATGTACAAACTGGACTTGAACTTTGCAGTTGGGAGGGCACACATTTTCAAGGTCAAATTTGATAAAATTGTCTTGTATATGAGAATATTGAAGGGCACTATAGCAAACTAAACTACTGACAGTACACGGTTGATACCATCAGAGTACTGCCTTCATGCATACATAATAAAACCATACAATAAATGATTTTGAATATCAATGAATTTTTCAAAACTAGCTTTGATACTGTTGAAGGTAATTCAGTTACCTATCTTCCTGGAATTTATCACAAATATGGTCTCCAAGTGAGTGTATCTTAGATATATCCACAGTGTGCTCGGCAGCTTTTAATTTAGTTGGTGATAGGCTCCATACTCTGAGGGCCGAGTCTTCAAATCCACCACACAGCAATCTCTGATCCGGAGATACCCTCACAGTATTCAACCTGAAAACAAGACAGAGATATTTCACTAGCAGGGGGCAGTAATTTAAAACACTGGATGAACTACATAACACCACGATACATGCATTACCTTCCTAGCACATGTTATTCATTAATACAGGAAGGCTATTCCTTCGTAAATAAGTTGCGGCCAGTTTTAAGGCTGCGATTAATTCTCTATCTCCCAAAGGGAGTATGACTATTCTGGCCAATTGTGTATTGTTTT